TATTTTCACCTGTAAAGCAGGAGTGGCATAGGCGGAGGTTTACCCTGGTGCAGGTGTGCCGTAGCGGTCAGTGGAAGAATCCGCGAGTTTCTCTGTGAGTTTCCCATTACGTCGTAGCTACTCAGTGCTTGCTTGGAAGTTTAGGGGGTTTTTTTCGCTGTAAAAAGAAGTTTTCTTCCCACGCACAACGGACACTAATGTTTTTGTCACTTTTTATGGAATGAAACTCAAAGTAAGGTCAGTACTTCCACGCTTTAAACGCTGCATGCTCATACTCTCTCCTGCACTCGATATATGATCCACTGTTGATCTGCACACAGCTGTTGTCACGAACGTCGCACTCGCTTACGTCACTGTCATGCGACATTCTTGCAAAAAAATCACGGTTTTAGTAACGCAGTAACGCAGCATTCCTACGGGAAAGTAACGGTAATCTAATTACCGTTTTTGCAATAGTAATCCCTTACTTTACTCGTTACCTGAAAAAAGTAATCAGATTACAGTAACGTGTTACAAGTAACACGTTACTGCCCATCTCTGCCAAGGAGTTAACGATTTCAGTGACCTCACCTCATCTCCAGACTCCGCCTCTGCTACAGAAGAATTGAGGAGATCCTCAAAGTATCCCTTTGACCTTCCTGAGTTGAAGTTAACAGCACCCTGCACACATTATATACTGTGTGATTAGAGAACTGTATTCCCCTTCGGAATAACCTGATCATTTCCCTGAATTGCTAGGAGACCAGGGGAACACGCTGCTGTGGTGGTTAGCACTGTTGCCTCACACAAAGAAGGCCCTAGTTTTAAATCTTGCTGGGCTTTTCTGTTTCCTCTTGGTACTCTGATTTCATCATATGGGCGTAGGTTAATTGGTGATTCTAAATACCCCATAGGTGTGAATGTGAGTGAAAATGGTTGTCTGTCTCTCTGCGTTAGCCCTGTGACAGACTAGCGACCTGTCCAGGATGTACCCTGCCTTTCACCCTATGGCATCTGCGATAGGCTCCAGCACCCCACCAACTCTGAATTTGATAAGTAAAAGAGAATGGATGGATGGAAGCTTCAAGATTGACCGAAAGTCTTGTTCCATGGCCTCACTGAATCCCTACTATTTTTGAGCTGGTGATTCGGCTACTGTAAGAGCTGCACACTGCTTGGTTGAATATCTTTTTGTTGAGTACCACACCAAAGACTCATTTAGCTTGACGGCTACCTTCACTTCTGTTGTCTGCCTACTGGTTTAACAATTACTACACGGGCGCCAGCAAGAATGTCAAGAATTTTCACTGATGGAAAATTCAGACTAGAACAAAGTCCAGCCCCTCCTCTCGGAGACTGGTTCTAAAACCCATGCTGTGTGTTGAGGTAAATCCAACTCTTAACCTCACACACTACCTAAGACTCCTTCCTTCTCTGCTGGGGATTGTATTGCCAAAGTTTGACCCTCAATGGCTGCAACCAAACACTGCACCCAACCCTTATGATTCCTCCTGCAGGTGGTGAGCCCATATCATGTAAAACCAAAATATTGAATCAGTTTTTCATTCATAAATATATATTTTTTCTGCTAAGTTTAATTCACTGTCAAATTAGCATTTTTCAGTATATACAAACACTAACTTCTACTTCAGAATCTGATAGTGAGGAGTACTTTAACCCCAATACATCAGTAGTCCTAAAAATTGGAACAATGATTCAGGGAATGGTCTGGAGTAAAGAGATTAGAAAAATGAGAATACATGCCTTAAAAATTTGGGGAAATAAAATAAGCTCATGGCGAAAATTATAGAGGAAGTGACATCAGGACCTTTATCACATGTTCTTAATTTAAGAAATTTTATTTTGCTTTAGAGATATTTGTTGGACAACAAGATGTTAAGAGAACGGTCAGTCAGGCTCCAGCATCCACGATGCTGTAGTTCAACATATTCAGCACAGGAAGTCTTGAACTGAGCTGAATTGGATAAAGAGAGCTGGAGGAGATGGAAAGGAATCGGCCCTGAATTCCTGTTGCCATGACAACAACGGCGACACCGCTGCTATGGTGACACCACACACACATAATGATGCAAGCGTGCTGATCGAAAGGAAGGTTCAGGGCAGTATGATAAAGCGTCTCCACTTTTTTTGTTCTATTATGTTCTTGCTCTTATGTACCTCATTTTCAACTTCTTTCCTCTCTGTTTCCTCTCCTCACCCTTCTCTCTCCTACTGCTGTCCTTGAAATTCATCATTTAGGGTGACAGAAACTGCTATGCAGCTTGCATGTCAGCTTCAAGGAGTGATGCTAATGTGGGCAAAATATCTTGTTGATGGCAGAAGTCAAACAATAATGACTAGAATGTTAACAGTAATTCAGATACAAGGGACACTAAAGATGGACTGCTGTAGAAGAAGAACACACTCGGCCAAGAAGAAGATACTGAGGGCAGTGGCTCATCAAAACTGGATAATTTGGTGTAAATGATATGAATGCAGGGAATCCTCCCCACCTTTATTCATTCTGACCGCTGCTGCTGCTGTAATGGTGCGCCGATATTGTTTTGACACACTCTGAGTCACTCTATAGACTGAGGCTCATGTTAACAGCAGCGCCTGAGCGCATGACCATGTCCATATCAGAGTGTTTTTCTGGGAATGACAGTAACTTCTCTATACTTCCATAGCCTCCACCATAGGTGGAAATTTCAGAGTAAAATCAGGGGGACACAACTTTCCAGTATTTTTAGAGCTTATTTAGAAAAAATAAAAACTAACATTACTTACTAAGGTAATAGTGCCGCTGTGTGACTTTATTTTCACTCCCAAAATGTAAATATGGATAAGGAGTTCATACCATTGCCAAATCCTTACTCACTGCTACTCAAAATCTAGTGCACAAAAAACACACAAATATACAGTGTCTGTCCTTCTCTGATATTTGCTCACACAGACAAGTTTCTGATCATGAAGGAGCCAGAAAGAAAAGGCAGAAAAATAGCTGTAGCTGCAATGACGCACTAACTGTAGGTTACTCCAATAAAACTTCCACGTCGTACATCAAATATTCAGTTTTCTTACTACCAGACAGATCCAAGAGTAGAAGAAAATGAATACTACAAGGTGTATGGCACTCGTGGGGAATTCTTATACATATGCTGAATTCATAATTTTATAATTTATAAGGAGAAAGAAAGAAAACAATGACTTCCTAACCACATAACTGGAAAAAATGGATGCTTTCAATCACATTTCAGTGCTGTGGTATCTTAAAAAAATGTGATTTGGTCTGACCACATATATGTAGCAATGGAAGTGACGTATGTAAAAAAAAAATAGAAGTTTGATATAAATCTTTGTTTTCATGTATGCTATTGTATGCTATGGTGTGTGTGTCTTCTTCTACCGTGGAAGAGTGTTTGTGTGTTTTTGTGGTCGATAACAATCTCAGTGGTGTTCTACACTTGGTCAATGTGTTGCTCCTTTCAGCAGTGCCTCATCGATCTTTAACATAACAGCGAACTGCACCTTTAACTTCCTGTGGTTACACTCGGCTGCGTTTGTGCGTTTGCTCACATACACCTGTCTTTGTGGGGACTAGTTTGAGCAATTAATCTTCTGTTTGTGTTTTTAAAGTGACAACTCCATGTAGAGTCGAGGCTTGAAGTCTTACTGATTTTAACACCTTTTAGCACTTTGGCAACTCCAACACTTTTAGCGATTTAAGTGAAACATCTGAAACTTCTCCTGCAGTGTTATCGTCTTCTGTATCCAGTGATTATGAGACAGATAGTCCCTGGGCACAGACCTGTGAATTGCCCCCCACCCACCAGAGAGGAACCAAAGACTGAAATAGAAAGAACAGCTACAGATTCTAGAGTTGGGTTTCATATCTATTCCACTTTGTTGTGTGTTTCTCTGTGGTTACTTTGCATCTCTTACTCATACCTTTGTGCCCCTAGTCTCTCGTTGCTTTGGTCCTTTTTATTTATTTTATTATTAATTATTATTATTTTTTTTTTTTTCAATTTCATGGCCTGCATGGTTTCCAGCAGACCTGGTAGCAGTACAGTTAGTGGGAATAGCACTTTAAGGCAGTACAGTTGGAGTTTGATCTGACAATGGAAACAGCCGAATGCCATCCAGCACTACCACAACGTCACATGATATGTAAAAGAGACGATAGTTAGCAGAAACTAAACTTTCAAAATAAAAGTAACATTGTTGTTCAGTAATAGATGATGTTGATATAATATAATATATGCAGCTTTAATACAGTTTTTGTATTCCTGTAGCAGTTTGAATTAAAAGTAGTAGATTTGAATCAAATTTGCCGTCAGATAGTAGGAGGACTATCAGGCTGCTGTTTGTTATTATATCATCATAACACAATTAGGAACATGAATATCTTTGATAGAGTTCTGTCTCTGCAAATTTACAACATCATTGTATTTGTGTTAATTTATTTGGTGAGATCGGTCTGTCCATCTCCTTCTGATGATAATCTCAGTCTATTATTAATCTGTTGATAGAGATCAAAGCTCTTCTCTTTCTCTGCGTCACTACTCTTCATTTTTTTGTCTCTTTTCATCAGCTCTCTCAAATTTGAATTTACTTTGACGTGATCGCAGTAGAAAGACAGGCTCATGCTATTTTAAAAGTCTCTGTGTAAAATGTTTTTATTTTCAGAGCAGTCAACTGATGACATTGTCCTGATTCACAGCTTTGTGCAGGAACCGATTGTGCACAGATAAAAAGCTCGTACAGAGACACAAAATACCCACATGAAATGACCATAAGGAGAAAATAACAGAAAACTGTTATAAAGAGAAAAACTGGACATACTAGACCAAATGCAGATATGCAATGAGTACAAAGTTACTCAAAACTATGATAAAGAATGGTTATACGATCAACATATCCCCATATTAGCAATTATGAAAAAGACGTAGTTACAACTAACATAACTTTTTTTGAAATACAGATTTTGCTGAGATAATATGCCTTTCTGTCTCTGTTAGATACCAGAGTGCGGCTTCTATGGGATGTACGAGAAGATCCTCCTATTCCGTCATGATCCTACATCAGACAACGTGCTGCAGCTACTGCGCTCTGCTTCTCAGATCCAGGAGGGTGACTTGGTGGAAGCCATACTGTCAGGTAAAAGCAAGGAGGGGTACCCATGTCAGACCACTGATGTACAAAAAATAAACTGAATCCGTTCTCTGTACTTGTTTCCTTCGTAGCTTTAGTTTTTCTCCAGCCTTAAAGTCTTCTGTTATTGTTCCAGAAAACATGTTTTTTATCATTATAAAATTATAAGTGTGAAGGAGCTTAAGAGTCATGTGAGCACGGTAACAATGAGCTTAGGACAGACAGATAAATGACTGTACCCCTGGGAATTTTGTCCCATGTAACAGTCACTCTGTATTATATGATGGCAATATTTACGTCAAGAGGTAGGGAACAAGATCACTGGCTGTTTTCTGAGCACATCCAACTAGAAGCTCATGGCCCAAACATTGAAGGGTTACCACAAATAAACACAAATTTTAATCAGCTTTATGCTATAATGAAATGTTTCTAGAATTTATGTAACACAGTGCTTCTACCATCACACCAGAGTTGGAGAATCAAATCGAATGCAGCCAAGTCCACACTAGCCCGGATAAATTTGAAAACAGCGTTTTCGTCTGAAAACACTCCGCTTCCACATTATCGTTTTAGTCAATTTCACAGAGTTGTGCGTCCACATTGAAACAGCCGAAAACGTTTACATTCCAGTACTGCGCATGCGTGAAGCGCAAGACGATTCGACCTGCCTCATTTCTGTCTGCTGTTTATTTACTTTCTGGCTCTTTGAAACATTGCTGCAAAACTTTGAGGAAAAGCACAGAGTGTTTTAAATGGACAAAGAACGAAGTGGAGTTGTTGCTGCGAGTAACACAAAAGTACAAAGTTGCAAAAGCGAATGAGAATTAAAGAATTTGAAGAAAAGCTATCTGCAGCATGTACAGACTGATATTAATCTTTAATAGGGCTGTCAAAATTGAAAGCAAACAAACCAACTGCTGTATAATGCCCTCCGCTATCTTAGTTTAATTGGTCTCATGACTGCATCACATGACTAAAATGCGTCATCGTTTTCGAAAAGGCTCCGGGGTTGCTGTCCACACTGCGACACGAAAACGGCGTTTTCAAATGTATCCACTTTGGAGAGCGTTTTCAATGCGCTGCATTTTCCTTGACCGAAAACGCCGTCTGTGTGGACGGAAGGCCAAGACGTAGAGAAAAAGATGCGATTTCAAACAAAAACATATTAGTGTGGATATGCCCTCTTTATTTATATACTACAGAAGAAACTCCAACAATCAGACAACCAATTCTGAGCAAGCACTTGGTGACAGTGGGAAGGAAAAACTCCCCTTTAACAAGAAGAAACCTCTGACAGAACCAGGGAGGGGCAGACATCTACCGGCATGGTGGGGGTGAGGGGATGAAGATGGGACAAAAGACACACTGTGGAAAAGAGCCAGAGATTAACAATAATTCATGTCATATTAAAGCTGCCTTGGCATCAATCATTCTCTTCTAACCTAGATGTCACCATGCTGTAACTGTAATCTTAACTGAAAGCTATTCTAGCCTGCCGATAAGCTAGAGCTACATGTGTTCTTAAGTTTTTCCAACTTCTCTTACTCAGACTGTGTAACTTAGTCTCTCTTTGGGGAAATGTTTGTGTGCCCCACAGGAAAACTGACATCCCCTGTGGAAACATATGTATTGTACTATGTATAATCTATCTCACACACACACACACACACACACACACACACACACACACACACACAC